GTTGCAAAGTTGTCCAGGCTGGGCTTGAACTTTGAATCCTCCTGCCTCAGCCTCCCAAATGGATAGGATTTCAGGTGTGCACCACCATACCTGGCTGATGTTCACAAACTTTTATGTGAAAAAAATTACAGCATCAAGATGAAAATAAGGGCTGTGAATTTAGCTCAGTGGTTCCACCACCTGCCTTGCAAACTCAAGGACCCAAGTTCGATCCTCAGTACCAAAAAAAAAAAAGATAAAAATAAAGCTGTTTGAAACATAAGAAGAAATCAACAATACGCAACTGTGTTTTTCCAGTCTACCATTCTTCCTATTTCTTTAATATATAAATAAGCAATAATAAACTAGGACAGGTAGAATTTGAAAAATACAATCATTAATAAATTCAATAAGTATACTTAGGATTTTTAATCAAAGGAACCACAAGTACACTTACTATACATACATATACATATGTAATAGTTATAAAAATAATGCTTAGTATTTTGTTTTTTGTTGTTGTTGTACTAGAGATTGAATTCAAGGCCTCATACATGACAGGCAAACACTGGAGTACTGAGCTGCATCCTCAGCCTTTTAAAAATTATTTTTAAAAATTTTGAAACAAGGTCTTGCTAAGTTGCCCAGGCTGGCCTTAAATGTGTGTTCCTCTTGCCCCAGCTTCTGAGTAGCTGGGATTGCAGGTATGTGACTCCTCTATCGCTGCTTTTGCTCAAAGTGGCTTTGATTATTCTGGATTTTTATGGTTCAAAGTTCTTAATGCATTTTTAAAATACAGAAATGTCACTGGCAAAATTCAGTGGCAAATGAAATAGTATTTAGACATTAATGCCAAAAGCTGAGCCAGCCTTAAACAAACCACTAGAAATTTTAACAATAAAAGCACTATCATTGGTTGGATCAGCCCTATGCAAACACTGTTAAAGACAAAGTCCCTTTCCACATCATTTATGAAATAAATTCTAAAGCATACTAATTCTTCAACCTGATTAGTGTAAATGCATGCTTTAAATAATCTTTTTAGTTTTTAAAGGAATAAATATAAATCACTTAATTACAGAGGCCACAAAATGCATACACACTTCAGGAAAAGAAAATAGTATGATGTTTTTTGCACAGATGGTGTTACCCTTGTATGGGGGATCCAGAGGATGTTGTATCTTACAGAAAACCCACCACACTGTGTTCCTTAGGGAAGAAACTGAAAACGCACATGCAGTGATCTCAGTGGCCAAGGTCACCCAAGCAGCACAGCACTAATAGCATCTGGAGGATCATAGCCACCACTCTGAGCACCTCTTGTATTGTAGAGGCCAAGGTCATGTGTATTAATCTCATGGTATCTCAATAAATTTAGTATTACAGTATTATACAAGTTTTTCTTTTCCTGAAGTGTATATACTTTTTTGCAGACTCTGCATTCATTGTAAGAATTAAAAAAATAATGTCCAATAAAAGAAATAAGGTGATAAGAATTTAAATTGCAAACCAAAAATAATTAATTTGAAAGAGAATTGGAAATATGAATGGAACAACCCAAAGTCATAAACTTTGGCCAGGTTTGAGAGGACACGACAGTCATGGACCATGAATTCACCTACAGTGTGCTAGAAGACACCCACCCTGGTTTCCTGTCCCTGGAGATGTTGGTTTATGTGGTCAGAGTTGAAATGTTCATTGTTTGTAACATAGAGTTGACATTACTGTTATTCAAAAGGCAGTAACTATGGAGCTCCTTCAAAAGGAAAAAAAAAATGTCAGTTTACCTATCAATATTTTAGCCTAAATATCTCACATTGTTTTCCTTGTACTGTTTTCAAATGTGTAATCTCCCCCCTGTTCCTCTCTCTCCTGAGTCCCCTGAGGAATGAAACCAGGGCCTTACCCATGTTAAGTACATGCTGTACCACTGAGCCAAAGTCACAGGCCTAAATTATTATTATTATTATTATTTATACTGGGGATCGAACTTGGGACCTTGCGCAGAGACAGGCAACTGCACCACTGAGCTAAATTCCTGGGCCCCTAGGCCTAAATTCTTTATATTAATAATACATTTATAAAACCAAACACATTGATTAAGTAAATACCACAGCACTGTCAGAAAATCCAAAAAGCAGCATTAATTCATGGCAACATCCAGTGATAATTTACTGAAGCAAAAACATTGTCAGAATTCACAGCTGGAAAATTATATTTTATGTTTTATTTTTTTTACCATAATAACTCTTATATTTGAGCATGCAAAGAACATACAAGTAATTTTCATTATCATCTTAATCGTGGTTACATAATTTAGCTGTGATCATCAGATTACTAGTTAACTTCAAGTGTGTCATAAATTTTAAAAAATCTAATTTACTAAAACTAACTTGTGTATTAACTAGTGTGTCCACTACTAAAACATGTTCCAGGCGGCCATGAAGACAAGTGGCTTCTGCGTCAGCACAGGTAGATCTGGCCTGCTCGGTCCCTCTGGCCCAGTGTTGCTGGCTCAGGTCCCCTGCCATTGTTCCGTTTTAGGGACTTCACAGCCTTAGCTCACTGTGCTGCAATATCATCTCAGCCACATGTGGCTCAGGGGCATTGTTTGGCATCGAGTCCACCTCTGTGTTTCCTTTAATGTGAAAGCAGCACCTTGCCGTTAGGAGTTCTTATAATGTAGTTCAGGATCTCAGCTGAGGAAGCTGACGTCCTACAGTTTGATAATGCATGTCGAGGCATATTCTCATGGCAAGAGAGAAGTCTGTCTTCATAACTGGCTGCTCCAGCATGTGAGGGATAAAGTTAATTCCTAATATTCTAACATATAAACTTGCCAGCTCAAATCGCATCTCTATACTTTCTCTTAGTGACAAAACAGTTGCAAACACAAATAGTCATTCAAATAATGAGTTACAAGACAGTTTTCACTTAGAAGATGGTCCAGGATACAATTACACTAAGCTGGGGCCTTAGAAAGATAATTAGCACACAGCATTTGAAATTCTCTGCAAACCCATGGTCCCTTGAGATTGTGTCCACCGATGTCCAGTGGTCCAAGTGGAAGAACTGCTTCTTAGCTGTCTGGATCAGCACAGACAGTAACCACTGACATTTCTGGACCCCCTGGGCCTCCCTGGGCTCAGCCTCAGGTAAGAGCCTCAAGTTTCAAACACATCTGATTCTGGTCCTTAGTTCTGACAGCGCATCCAACTCACCTCAGCTGGCCAAAATCAATGCCACAGCTAACTACCCTGCCTCTCAGGACCTGTCTTCGTGGTTTCCTTCTGACTTTCCCTTTTCCTGATCCTATAATGTTGAGTTGGCCAATCAGCCCTCAAGACTGAGTTTTTGTTATTTATCAGTCCTCATTCAAAGAGGAATGATGACAGCCAGAAAAGAAGTAAGAATATAAACAAATAAATAATATGATAGAGCAAATATTACAACATATAGGAAGACAAAGAAATAGGAAAAATATTTTAAAGCATTTTAAACCAACATTGTTTATGCTACAATTTGTGCAATGTCCAATTCTTCATATCTATTATTTTATACTTTTGGTGTTCTTTATCTGATGCTGTCTTCAGGTGCTGGGGAAAATCAAGGTGATTTCTAATAAAAAATATTGGTTCTACATTTTATCCATTGTCTTGATCTAGCTAGGGTTGGTATTCCTTCTTAAAACTAATTAATATTAGTCAATAAATATGCAATTCCAGGTAGGATTTCTTATCAGGTTTGTCAAATAGTATAGTAAAATATCAACATAACCACCTGGTTTTAATTTTCTTCAAATAGGGACCATAGAAACTAGCAACTCCAAGTTTCACAGAAAGAATATAAATTTAGCTTTCTTTGTAGCTATTGCCAAAATACATTATGCAAAGTGATATTTAGGCATCATCTCGAGAACACAAAAAAGCAATGAGAGAAACCATCACTGAGCCTCATAGAGACTCTCTTGCATATGGCAGGCTGCTTATGTCCTACTTTCAGTTTTCTCATTCCTTTGATTTTGATTATTTTATTATAATGTGTCTCCACATAACCATCTTCAGGCCTATCTTAACTGTAGACTTTTAAGTTTTGCAGTGTGATACCTATAATGCTCTCAGGATGTGGGAATTTCACAGCCATTATTTCTTCAAATGAGCTTCCCACTCCTTTTCTCTCACTCTTCTTCTAGCATTGCTGCCATTCGTAGATACTGGTTCACTTGATGGTGGCTCACAAATATTACTATTGCAAGTATTATTATCTATTTCATTAGTTTTCATTGCTTCCCTGGTTGTAAATGTCAAAGGCCTAGATTACAGGTGCGCCACCATGCCCGGCTCTAATGTCTGTCTATATTTTCTTGTAACTTGCTCAGCTTTCTTAAAACAAGTAACTTGTTTTATATTCTTTTCCAGACAGTTCCTAAGTCTCTGCTTCTTTGAGGTCAGTTTCTAGAAAATCTTTGGTTCCTTTGGCAGTGTAACATCTCTTTCCCCTTTTTCATACTCCTTGAAGTATGATATTGCTGTCTTCTCATTTAAAGACTTAGTTGACTCCTCCAGTTTTTAACAAACATATTCAAGAGGACATTGTTTCATGGCAGGGCTCTGTTGCACATTTTCTTTATTGTTTTATGACTCTTTGCTTGCTTTAGCAGTTTCCTCCAAACAAATATTTTATCCAATTTGATACAAATCCATTTTTTCCTAGTAGTTTTGGGCAAAGGAGAAATTCTTTGAAAGAAAAAAATAATACAGAATACCAATATTGGTAATCCTTTGTGGAGCATAAAATACTTCACCTAGCTGTGCCTATACCAAGAAACACAAAGAAAGGATGCTGCACATTGAATTCATTATTAAATGTTCCAGTTTGTACATGATAGAATGAAATGAGATGAATTAGGGTTGTGAAATATCCTTCATGCTTATCATTCTCTGACAGTCTCCGCTGAACTCAGTTCTCATGAGACATCTTTGTTTTCCTTTTTGCATGTGGAACTCATTTTGATTTTGTAGGAAGCAAAGCTGTGTCCTGTAAATCTCCTATTTCCCAAGTCACCACACATGTGCAACTTCTGCTCTGCTGTCCAGTCCTGTGTCACTGAGGAGTAAAGAAATAATACTTTGTTCTTCAGAAATGAAGTAAGTTTAAGAGTGCTCCCTAACAATGGAAATTAGCCTCTTGAGAACTAGGTCAATCAGATGTGCACAGTGATAAAGAGGCTGAGATAAATTTGAAATGTCTCATTTGATAAGAATGTTGCTACGTGGATTTGCGCTAGATTTTCTGCAGGTTTCATAGCTGTCCAGTCAAGAGGACGATGTGCTACCTAACTTTTTCAGTACTATATCACTTCTATACATTGATGAGGCCCATCTGAAATGACAGCCTAGAGGATTGTGGCATTTCAAACGCTCTACAAAAAAGAATTGGAAAATACTTCTTAAAAGAAATTCACTAGAATTCTTCCCTGTGCCTTTTCTTGCTAGGGTCTCTATCTGTCATAGCAACAATTGTTACCAGTAATGTTACAAGCAGGACAATTTAGACATAGTTTGAAGAAAGTATGCTGCTTTAAAAATAGAAAATGAAAGATTCTTACTTCATTGAGCCACATCGCTCTTTTTCTTCATTAATATGTTACTATGGGATCCTAAGTAAATATTACTTTTAAGGGAATATGGCATGCTGCCAGCTTCAAATCACTATAGGAAACACCTACTATAATCAACTTATGAAGCAAAAAGGTTTATTTTGGCTCATGACTTGGAAGCTTTCAGTTCAGTCTCTTGGCCCTGCTGCTCTTGGCCCTAGGGTCCCACTGTCTCCTTCCAGGTCACCCCCAAGAGACCCAAGACCTCCCACTACGCCCTACCTCTCCAAGGTTCTACCTGTCCATATTGCATCACAGAATGGAGACCAGGACTCCACAGAATGGAGAATTCCAGGCCTGAAGTGTAATAAAGAAAGTTCTCTAATATAAGTAACATACACATTTAAACATTTGATGGAATATGTGTTTTTGATAGAAGACCGTGATAGTTTTTAGCTGGCTTAGCATTGACACTCACTGTCCTTTGATTGGATGCTGTGCATCATTTTGATACTTGTAGTGTTTCCTGCTGACTGCCTGCATTCCCTGCTAACTTGTAATTTCTGTAATGTCAAGACCTGGCTCTCTGACACCCCATGTAGCTATTAAATATATATGAATAAGTATTGAATAAAAAGTAATTAATCATGACAATATTATACATGTTTTGTAATTGAAAAAACTCACAATTGCATCCAGGACTAACCTTGTTCATTGTAGTGTGATGTTTTTGAAAGTATGCTACAGAGAGCTAGTTGTAAGACTTTAATAATTAACCAAAGAACCTCCCCCAACATGCCTATTTCATAACTAAAGTAGTTTGGAGAGTTGGAAAGTGCTGGGCTAAGCTAAAGTAGTTAAGTTCCTTTGCTCTGAGAACTCAAAAGTGCATGTGCTGGGTATACATACATACAGAGTGTGTAGGTCTCTAAGTGGGGCAGAGTTACACATCTCAGACTTACCTGCCCACAGGTGGCCTTATCAACAAGCTTCCTTCAAGGGCAGAACTCCACTCTTGGAGTGGCTATGTCAGAACAGGGCGTCTGTGCTGTATAGTGGAGTGCCCCATCTCAGTTCACCTGCCTTTGACCTGGTGGTGCTTATGACCACATATGCAGCTTAGATGCAGAAGCGCAATAAAACTGATACAGAGCCCATCATGATCCAGTGTGTGGTAGCTCTCCAGCACCTGTAGCAGTCCAATGACAAAGGCTTGACTCTCCCTGCTTTATAGACAAGAAATTGGAAACCAAAGAGGTGAAACCAGCGCAGCTTGAGCTTGCGGGAAGGTGGGAGAGCCTGAGTCAGGGTTGCCTGATCCCCAAGCCTGAGCTTCTCCATGGATTTCATCTCCCTAATCCCAGGCTGTTCTGTGGCCCCAGCAGCACCCATGAGCAGTGTGCATAGAGCAGTCTCACCAACACACATGTGAGGTAGTTTCTGCCTTTTCTGCTCCTTAGGGATAGCTTGCTTGCTTTGCTCTTTTCATCCCAGTTGCCTGTGATACTGTCTGTTTCTTTTACATGTAAACTCTGCAGCCCCATTTGGATGGAAATGTTTACCTTTCTCTTATGACTTAACTTTTCTATTAACCATCTGTATTTTGTATTAACCATGAGTATTTAATGTATTGCATGCTTCCCTCTTTATTTGTCTTTAAACTTTGTGGATAAATTTTTATGTATGCACATGTTTTAAATGAGATATAGCTATATATATATTTTACCACACACACACACACACACACACACACACAATTTTCTCATATTTTCCAACCTAGATATTAGATATTGTATATCTTTCATTTATTTTTAAATGTATTTTGTCATGTAGGAATGCATGGCAATGGAGGTTGCTTTAAGTACATTTAGAATGTCTGAAAGGCATGTATGTATAGTTAAATAACCAAATATATCTAACCATATAACAAATATAGACAGTTAAATTAACCAAGTATAAAAATAAATCACCACTTTGCTACCCAGATGCCACAGTCATTTCCATGCTCTTGCCTCAGTGGGTGCTGGCCGAGTCAGTGGTCAGTAAATGGATCATCATTTGTTTCTGGGCTGCAGATATTCTTCTGGATCTGACGATTTGTGGAAGAAACTTCTGTTGAGCTGGCACTGTGCTCCAGGCATATAGCGCATTCTTCCTGTCTCAACAAAGAACTCTTGTCTTTCAGAGATGCAGCTTCCTTTCACACACTGCTCGTGTAAAGATGTGTAAATGCGAAAAGGTAGTGTTGGCTTTCCTTGGGACTCTTGTCTCTCCCTTGTGGAGCTATCCAGGAATAAAAGTATCAGTCCACTTGAGGTGTTCAAAAGGAGAAATTGCCATATCAAGGACGTAGTGAGTGCTGAGTTAATTTGAAAAATAACCCTAACAGCAGCTGACTTTCATAATTTATGGGGAAAAGTTTAAGAAATCCTGACAAGAGCAGCAGAAGATGCAGGATGAACAGGTAGGAGCTGGTGAGCCCAGCTACAGATTGTTCTGTCCTCCACCCTTGCACAAAGAGTGCCACCAGGTGGTCCTGCAGAAGCTGGCCTCTCCGATGCCTACTAATGCTTGCTCTGCATACTCCGAAGGACATCTTTCTGGAGCTTGGTTCAGTTGTATTTGTTGAAAAGCATATGGGAAGCAGCCACTGAGCTCTGAGCGCTGTGAAAAGTAGACATGATATTGTCTTCACTAAGTTTACCAGGACACAATTCTGTAAGCAACCACACACTACTGAGATAAGATGCTATATTATAGGACATACTTTCTGATTTAAAGTTTTTCCTTCTAAATCTCTACATAGTGCAGAAAGTAAATTCCATGGGGCCATGATTTTTGGTTTCATATTCCTGTGCCTTCTATGATATTTAATACATAGAAGGCACTCTACAAACATTTGTTAAATAAAAGACTAGATTAGTGAATGACAAAAAGGACACCGAATTCCAATAAAAAAGACTTAGGATAGTTCCGTGTGGAAGGGCTGTAAAGTTCCACATGGTGACAATGGAAGAAAGGTTGTTTCAGCGTGAGAAGCGTACAGGTACATATGGAAGGTGCCAAAGCCCAGCAAGGTGGTAGCTCAAGTGCAGAGATTTCAAAACCAAGCTAGATTTTTACAGCCAAGAAATCTGGAAGAACATTATTCTAAAAATTAATAATAAGAAAACAGACCTATGGTCATAACTGGTATTTGTCTTCATTATTTTCTCATTGCTGGGGCTTCTTGTCAAACACCCTGGACTTAAAGAAGAAGAGGTTTGATTTGGCTTACATTTGTAGTCCATGGTTGGCCCACCCCGGGCAGGAAGACATGGAGGAAGGGTGTGGCGCAGGAGAGCTGCTCCTATCACGGTGGCCAGAAAGCAGAGAGAGAGAAGGGAGGAGCTGGGTAGGGACTTTCCAGGTCACAGCCCAGTGACCCCTTTTGTTTGTTTGTTTGTTTGTTTTTTTGTGACAGGGTCTCATCCTATGGTTTAGACTGGCCTTGAAATCACTATGCATTCCAGGGTGGCCTCAAATTCATTGTGATCCTCCTGCCTCAGCCTCCTTCCCAAAGTGCTGGATCTCAAGCAAATGCCACCACGCCAGGCTCTCCAGTGACCCCCTTCTTCTAACAACAAGCCAGCTCTAAGTACCCACGAGCCAATCACCTTCCAGACCTGAGTTTGGGGGACTCCTTTGGGTCTGAATCATAAAAATGTTCCATACAAATTATACTCTGTAGCCACATAAATCTTGGCCGGGTCTGAGTTCCAGGACCTCACGGGTGTCAAACCACATATGCGCTATCCTTGATATACAATGGTGTAGCACTAGCATAGACTTATGTGCATACTTAGAATTATGTCTAATTACTTATAATACCTTCTATAATCTAAGTGCTGTGTAAGTAGTTATTAAATTGCATTTTTTAGAGGATAATGACAAGAAAATGTATAATTTCAGTATAGATGCAACCATTTAAGGTGTAACTACATAGTACATGTCAACAAAAATACAATATATTTTATATGTTTATAAAATACACAGATCTATTTTGAGCCCTGAATTGGTGCATCCATGGATGTGAAACATGTACATATAGACAGTCAACACACTGTGTACTGTTTTTACACACTCTTCTTACAAATCAGTCAGACAGAAGATGCCTCACGAGCCCACAGTGAGACTGGCTCACCGACAACCAACCAGGCACCTGGGAAGCCCCATTTAAACCTGGGCTGGCTTATGTGGGGCCTCGTTTATGCGCTGCCAGCCCCTTCTGTCCCCCTCTGCCCGGCTGCCTCTGTCTTCCATTCCAGCTCACCACCTGCTTTAGGCTGTGCCTCTGACTCTGTGAGGAATCTTTTTCCTTTTGCAGCTGTGAAGAGAAGAGATTGACTAAGACTATCTCTCATATCTGCAGTTCTGTGCTCAGCTGTCCTCTTGACAAAGCCAAGATTTCAGTTCAGAGAGAAAAATGTCCTCGGGATTCAAGGACAAGATGACCTGAGATGGGAGATGATTTTGCAATCCCTCAAAGACCAGTTTCCAGGATTTCACATTTCTCCTCCCTGTCCAAACACATCGTTTATATCCAGGCATTTAACATAGAATCTGGATTCTGTCCTGGCTTGTTCCCCTGGGGAAGCAGATGGG